TCCATTTCATCTCTTCAAGTTAACACTTTGATTTCGCTCATTCCAGATCTAGTATATTGTAGCTTGCCATCCTAGGAGAGCTAGTGATCGAGTTTCTGTCGGAGGAGGAAGTGTTGACATCTGATGAAGAGAAGAAGGCCATGTACGAAGGGGAATAGTACGGCATCTTCCGGCGATTAGTGTCCAGAGATCAAACGAGTAAGAGCATTCCCAATAGAGATGGTCCCTTGATTCATCACAGCTATTACAGAGGAGACAAAGTGAAGGAACCTGTAATCCCCAACTTGATAACCTATCCCGCGTAGGTAGTCGGTTGAGCGCCACCAGCCATCCGTGAAAGTTTTGTCGTGGAATTCCTCTTGAGATCCATATTGCTTTGGTCCACTCTTCAACTGCGCCGATTCCTCTCAAGTTGTTATAGACATCCCATGTTCTAAATTTCTTTGAAGTCTTCCCCAAGATATGCCATTCATACTGATCTTCCTCCTCTGTAAATTGTATTGTTGTGATGTAGGAGAGTACTTGAAGCTGATGTTCTGTTCTCGCTGCTGGTAATCGCCAAGCTCCATTATGATGTAAAGAGGCAAGTGTTGCTGTCTGCGGGATACCAAGGCGCGATCTGCCTCCTTGCAAGTAGTTCTGAAGCTTCCTAAAAGGACTCCAATTATCAATCCAGAATCTACAATTTGCACCATTATTGATTCACATATGGATAAAAGGGTAAGCTACTTCTCTGAGTTTTAGTAATTTATTAGTGAGCCAAGAGAAACTCTGAGAAGGTTTTACAGTCCAGTAGTTTGAAATTGATCCTTTGAGTATGACCTCCTTGAACCAGGAAACCCACACTGATTCTGGTCTGAAGAATAGGAGCCAGATCAACCTCAAGCAACACGCTTTGTTCCATAATTGGAGATCCTTCACTCCTAAACCACCTTCCTCCTTTGGTTTAATAACTGTGCTCCATGCTACCCTCGCAGTATTCTGATGATCTAGGCTCCCCTTCCATAAAAAAGTGCTACACATAGAGTTGATTTTAGACACACAAGCTTTCGGGAGAACAAAGGAGGAGCACCAAAAATTAGTAATTCCTGAGATAATAGTTTTGATAAGCAGCAATCTTCCAGAAAATGATAACATCTTAGTCGACCAGGAGGAGAAACGAGCCTTTATTTGATGCAGAAGAGGCTCACTGCTTGCAAGGGACAGCTTTATGGAGTTCAAAGGCACACCAAGGTATCTGAAAGGCAAGTTTCAACACGCCATTCCTGTCGACACCTGAATCCTATTTATTTCATCTTCTGATAGACCGGACGCAAAAAAACTCGTTTTTTGCATGATTACTGCCAACCCCGAGCGATCTTCAAACTCTTTCAAGACTTGTAGCACACACTGAACCGATTCAATACTCCCCTCAATGAAGATCAGAAGATCATCATCAAATGAAAAGGTGCGTGAGCTTAATTTTCTTGCACTTTGGATGATAGTTTAGTTGTGATTGGGAAGCGACATCATTGAGCATATGAGACAAACAGTTCATGGCTATGACAAAAAGATAGGGTGATAATGGGTCACCTTGTCTTAACCCCCTTGTACCTTTGAAATAGCCATTGACAGTACCGTTGTAACCCACCATAAAATTTGTTGTGGAGATACAAGAGCTCAACCAGTGGAGATACTTATGAGGAACTCCCAAACCGTGTAGGCATGAGAAGAGGAACTCCCATGACAGAGTATCAAAGGCTTTTGCAATGTCAACTTTGATGGTAATCTTTTTTGTGCTTGTGTTCTTGTGGTATCCATTGATGAGCTCACTAGCTAGTACCGTATTCTCTAGTATCAATCTGCCTTGTACAAAAGCTGTTTGGCATGGCAAGATCAGACTTGGTAGCATAGGTTTTAATCGTTTCACCATTAGTCGAGAGATGACCTTGTAGATTGTATTTAAACAAGAGATAGGTCTAAAGTCTGATACTTTTGACGCTCCAGGGAATTTAGGTACCATGAAGAGGATTGTAGCATTTGCTGAGGAGGGTAAGAATCGGAGGAAAAGAAGTGAGTGACTGCATTCACGACATCTTCACCTACGGTTTCCCAAGCTGATTTGAAAAACCCCGAAGTTAACCCATCTGGCCCGGGCGCCTTATTTGCATTGAGTCTGAACATCATCTTTTTTATCTCTTCAGGAGACGACATCAACAACATTTGAGAACATTGCGCAGGAGTAACAGCATGATTAAGCAAGCTTCCAAACCATTCAGGGGGAGAAGACAAGACTGGAGTCCGTTGAGCAGGGCCTAACACAGAACGAAAATGGGACACTGCCAAGTCACTCATCTCCACAAGGTCCGTAATCCATACTCCAGAGCTAGTAAGAAAAGCCCTGACTGCATTGTAACTAGTACGAACCAGACAAATCCTATGGAAGTAAGTTGTATTTAGATCACCTTCCCGCAGCCAATTAATTCTCGATTTCTGTCGGAAATATAGTTCTTCGATGACTCTTAGAAAGTTCCATTTCTGGTGTAGGTCTCTCTTCGCTTGGAAGTTTTCAGAATTAGGATCCTGCAATGCCTGTACCTGCACAAGTTGAAGTAAACTGTGAGTTTCTGTGACCCTCTCTTGAATGTTTGAGTAGTTATCTCTGTTTATTTTCTTTAAATCACTCTTAATTTGTTTCAGCTTCCAACACAACTGAGCGATCGTTTGACTCACGCCCCCAGTAAGAATCCAAGCATCCTTAATCAACATAGTGAACCCCGGGTGTTTGGTTAGGTAGTTTTGGAATTTATATGGATAGTACCAGTTTTAGGAAGGGATAAGGCTAGGTTTAGGAGACAGGGTGTGTGGTCAGATAAGTCTGGAGGTAGAAAAGAGGCTACGGCGTGAGGGTAGGCGGAGAGTTTGTTGTTGTTGACAAGAAGACGACCAAGCTTTTTCGCTATTGGGCTATCAGGTTGATTATTTGTCCAAGTGTGACAAGGCCCAAGGTAGTGAAGATCGAATAGACCAGCTTGGAGAAGACAGTCCTGAGCTTGGTACATGAGATTGTCTGATGAATCAACAGAGGGGCTGGAGTGCTCGATAGGGAATAGAATCTGGTTCAGATCACCTCCAACAACCCAATTATTGTTTTCTAAATCAAAAGAAGTTTGGTCTTGAAGAAGATCATTCCACAGGTCAGCTCTTTCATCACTTAGATTAGAGGCGTAGATAGCTGTATAGTAAATTGGTGGAAGGTTGGGGATAGTTATCATACAGGTTAAGTGCTGTCTAGATTGAGATAAGGGGTGAATGACTAAGGGGTCTTTCCAGATTAGGACAATGCGGCCATCAGGATCAGATAGATGGTTCGACAAAGATTTCCAGCCAGGACAGGTTTTAGTAAGGATAGAGTTTAGAGAAGGTTCTTTAATATGAGTTTTTAAAAGGGCACCAAAAAGGGGCTTCTGAATATTTAGACAATTTACAAAAGGGGTGTGATTATCCGGATCATTTAGACCTCGGACGTTCCAAAAAAAGAGTTTTATATTCATAGGGAAGGGTTAGGCTGAGGGTCCCCGGGTAGGGGAGTTCCTCTAGGCACAAAAGAAGTTGGGGTTAATTGAGAGGTGAGGTCAGTAGCAGGTGGGAAGGGGGTTGATATATTCAAGGTAGGAAGAGATGGATTAGTTAAGTCAAGATTTTGAAGGACAGAGAACGGGTTGGCTGAGGAACAATCAGGAGGGGAGAGAATAGGTGAGGACCGGGAACGTTTAAGTGGTGGTTTTTTGGTAGGGTCAGGTGAGGAGAAAGTCAAAGGTTTAGTTAGAGAAAGAGAAGAATTAGTAACAGGGGGTCTTGAAGAACAAGGACCGGAAAGGGATTAGGATTAGCTCCAGAAGGAGTCTTGGAAACAATTTGGTATCTTTTCTGGATTTTTCTGGAGGATTTAGAAGGGGTGAAATCAGAATTGATGGTAGGTGGAGTTCTTGTAGTTTGGTTTGACAAAGGTGTTTCATTCTGTCTTGACGTTGGGACAGAGTCTTTTTCTTTTTCTTTTCCAGGGACAGGAGGTGTGTAGGTTAGGCAGTTGCGAAGTATATGGCCAAGCTCATGACAATGAGCACAAGTCGGAGGAACCCAAGGATAATAGACTTGAACTTCCACAACTTCACCGCTCTCCCTTTCAAATTCAACAATAGGCGGCAGTGGCAGAGTTAAGTCAACCTCAACTTTCACATGGGAAACTGTCAAACTGACCATATCCTTTGTAAACTCATCAGTCTCCTTTGGTTCACCAACAAGCCCTGCCACTAAACTGAGCCCTTTATCATACCGGAGATCCAGAGGCACTCCAATAAGGTGAGCCCATATTTGGATAGCTTTTAGAGGGGGTGTGGTGGTCGAATGATCAGAATTCCACTGAGCAATGTGAAACATCGAATCTCCCACATACCATATGTTTTTCTCCAGTATCTTCTGTCTGAGGTAAGAACTCTGTATCCTCACTAGAACAGTTCGATTCATTGGGTTGTTGTGTATTTCAAGCCGCTTTCCTTTTCCCCACATATAATTAAATACACTTTGTATTTGATTAAATGGAGGAGATTACCCATTGAAATAGCAGATGATAAAGTCTTGATGTATCTCTGCTCCTTCTTTGAATACAGAATCAAGAATGATCACACGCGGGCGCCCAGAGGGAGCTAAAGCTACTGGAGCCAGGCGTTTCAGAGTCATATTAGTAGAAGCACACAACCTTTCCACAAGGGTTGGGTTCAGAGTAGGGTTTGTTTCTGGAACAAGGTTACCAGATGACGGGTTCGAAGAAGTCGGGACGTTTGTTTGAGGTTGGGTATGGTCAGTGGAACAAGCTTTGTTGGGTAGTTCAGGTTGGGTTTTAGCTGTGGAATTAGAAGTTTGTTGAGGTAAAGATTGGTCAGGGGAACAAGCTTTATTGGATAAGATAGGTGAGGAGTCACGGGGAGGGAGTATTACATAGTTCTGGTTGGGATTTTGGTCTATAGTTGTTTGATGTACTATAGCAATTTCAGATCTGAGAATTGGAACAGTAACACCAGTAGGTGGGGTTAAGTTTTGTTGCTCCATTTCCATTGGGATAATGTCGGAGCAGTTAGTTGTTTCTTGCTTCTTCTCTACAGCAGAAGCAATAGTTGAGGAGTGAAGAGCAGTCTTTCTGATATCTTTACGGGAACCAGTAAAAGCAGTTTTAGAAAGGGCTTCAGATAAAGAGGGGAAGTTTCCGGTGGTCAAGGGAGAGGATGGGTCAGGAGGGTCTGGAGGAAGGGACGGCGGGGGTTCACCAGGAGTAGACACCAGCGGATTCGTACCGGAGAAGAGATTAGGGATTCTCCAAACAGACTGCATCGGGAACTGTGTCCGAGAGAGTCTGAATTTTAAGAGTAAAAAAATTAGGGGATTTCCGAATTATTTCGGGAGTTTCTTCCAATATACTTAAACAATATATAAATAATTTTGACTAAATAAAACAATATATAAATAAAAGTATTTGCAATCGAATCTTAACGCAATTGGCAGTTGGACTCATGTCACCACATGCGATGCACCGAACACCAACTAACTTGATCCCAACTATTTTTAGATTTTGTTTTTTGATAAATTATTTTTTAGAATTCACGTATCATGTTACATAATTCATTTAATATTCCGATTAAAATGACTAAAAAGGCGACGCACACTTTCAAAGCGTAATATACAATTGTGGATGACTGACTCGATGCTAGAAAACATTAACATGGCATGAAACTAAAGTAGTTATAGCATATTAATTACAAGCTTATTCAATATGGCTTTTTTTTTTACTTTATGGATATACTTTTGAATCAGATTAAAGTCGCATATCGCCGGTCGGTATAAAAGGAAAATCATGTATTTCTAGAACTATCAGCAAAAAGTTTCGATAAATAATATTTTAAAATTTATCAACAACTCAAAAACCATTAATACAAAATAAACCAAGAAAAATACAAGAGAGTCTCTCTGTTTCTGATTCAATATAATATCTGACCAATCTAGGGGTAAACAAACGATTCAACAATGAGTTTTTTTTTTGTATGTACATCTCAACTAAAAGACTTAACCGTGGAAACACCGCGACTTATAATTTGTCAAGATATACAGATTTCAACACTAAAGCTGGGTTTTAATTACTAAATAAATTGTAATTTTTTATAGATTAAAAATGCAAGTTTTTCAAAGGTTTTTAAAATGTTATAAGCAGAACTATTCATTGTGGTCATATTATGTTTTTTTTTTGAAACACAACATTATATTAAAGAACTCAATAGTCTGGGCCCGACTGGGCTAGCCCTTAAACAAAGAAACAGTAGAAACAGAAAGGGGAGCAACAAAGGCCCGTTTAGCTAAGGAATCCGCATCTCTATTCTGAGAACGAGAGATGTGAAGAAAGACGATCGAAGCAAAGGTGGAGGAGATTTGATCAATATCACGGAGGATACCGTAGATCTCCTTTACTTGTAGCTTGAGGTTAATTGCTCTGATGAGCGTTAAACAGTCTGAGAGGATTGTGACTTTGGTGAAGCCCTGGGAGGCGGCGGTGATCATTCCGAGGCGGAGAGCCAAAGCTTCGGCGATTAAAGGAGACGCCACCGATTGTTGTGTCAGGGATCCGGAGTTTACCGTCTTTAGCTGGTTATCTTTCATGATCCAGGCGAGTCCAGCTTTATCCTCCCCTGTCTTCCAAGCGGCATCTGTGAAGAGTAGCATCATCCCTGTCATCTTAGCACAAGGGGGGAGAGCAAATGCAGAAGCAATTGAAACTTTGCGTTGATTAGTCGGGATGGGCTGAGCCAATTCCCATTCTCTTGCCAAGCTCAAACCTTTCGACGCAAGCTCTATAGGTTTGGCCGTTTTGTCCTCAAAAATTAACTTGTTGCGGGCCGTCCATAGTATCCAGCAGATCCAGGGGAGAACGTTGTGTATGAGCCCTACAGGAGGTAAACACCTGACTTTGCGATAAGCCACTACTACTTCCTTGAAGTTTGCTTCGTCAGCTATGTGAACTGTTTGAGAGATTTGAACATTTTTCCAAACTTCTTTAGCGAAAGCACATTGAAAGAAAACATGGAGAACCGCGCTTATGAAGTTTGTCTCCGAAAGGGAGAGCTCCTTGGATCACCGACCAGAGGAACACCTTTAGTTTAGGTGAGAAAGAGCCTGACCATACGTCCTTTATCCAGGAGAACTCTTCTTGGCGATTCACTACTGGATTCAGCATTTCCAGCTCTAATGGCATCTTTGATTTTGCAGCCGTATTATAGCCAGACTTTGTGGAATAAACCCCTGAAGCTTGAGGTATCCAGATGTGAGAGTCTTCCGCACCTACCAGACTAGGATTTATACAGAGAATCTGTGAAACGAAATCTGGTAAGAATTCCTCAATTCTAGCTTTGTTCCATTTTAGATCATCAGTTAGCAGGTCAGAGACCCTTAGGTCTAGAGCCGCCTCCTTAATCGGTCCGTATGGCTTGATAGTAGAGTCTAGGCTGATCCATGCGTCTTTCCAAACCAGAGTTGACTGGCCATTTCCAATAGCTTTACCCAGGTGCTCCTTAAGAAGGTCCCTACCATATAAAATGCTGTGCCAGCCATGAGAACCAGCAGCAGATGCCTCAGCTTCAAGGAGATTCTTTTTGTGACAGTATTTCCTGTTTAAGACCCGAGCAAGGAGACACTCTGGTTTGGTTAGAATACGCCAAGCCAGCTTGGCTAACAGCGCTTGGTTAAACAGTTGAATATCGCGGAGCCCTAAACCCCCTAGAGCTTTAGGTTGAGCAAGTTTTGACCAAGCTACCCAACATAACTTTCTCTTAGTAGGAGAGTTATCCCACCAGAAACGTGTTAACGCTGACTGAATTCTTCTGTAGAGACTCAAGGGGATTTGGAAACAAGACATTGTGTAGGAGGGGATAGCTGTGAGCACGGCTTTCAACATGGTAAGCTTCCCTGCCTTGGACAGGAAGCGAGAGGACCAGTTAGCTGATCGTTGTCTGATCCTGTCAACAATGGAGGTAAAGAGATCTCTTTTTTTCCTCCCAAAATTCTCAGGCAAACCAAGATATTTTCCTTCTCCCCCTTCCTTTGATATGCCTAGGATTTCTTTGACTTTCATTTTAGTTTCTTGCGGGGTCTTTTTGGAGAAGGTGATTGCTGACTTGAGGATGTTAACTTGCTGTCCTGATGCCTCTTCATAACTCTGCAGGATATGTTTGAGGGATGTGCAGTTCTCAGGCGATGCACTGCAGAAGATCATTGTATCGTCTGCGAACAGAAGGTGGTTGACTCTTGGACTACCTCTCGCGACTCGGATACCCTGGAGACATCCATCTTTTTGAGCCTTTTTGCACAGCCGAGAGAGAACTTCACCGCAGAGGATAAATAAGTAAGGCGAGATAGGATCCCCTTGTCGGATTCCACGCTGAGGTAATACTGCTCCATAGACACTCTCGTTGATTAGGAACTTGTATGAGACCGTAGTAATACATTGCATCACCAAGTTAATCCATTTGTCGTGAAATCCAAGTTTTTTAAGCACCCGAGAAACAAAGCTCCATTCTACCCGGTCATAGGCTTTAGCCATGTCCAACTTAACCGCCATAGAACACCTCTGTTGCGCCTGTGAGGTTTTAAGGTAGTGCAGTACCTCGTGAGTAATCAGAATATTGTCGGTTATTGATCGTCCGGGAATAAAGGCAGACTGGTTTTCTGATATAATAGAGGCCAACACCGGTTTCAGACGAAGAGCTAGTACCTTTGATATGATCTTATAGAACACATTGCATAGTGCTATAGGCCGATATTGCTCTATCTTTTTTGCTCCGTGTATCTTTGGTATTAATCTAATATGTGTCTCGTTTAAAGCCGCAGGTAGTACACCAGATGAGAAGAAAAGCTTGACTTCCTCCACAACCGAACCTCCAACGATGTCCCAATTTGTATGGAAGAAGCTTGCCGAGAACCCATCAGGGCCTGGTGCCTTATCGGCATGGATCTCGAACAGAGCGTCTCTGATTTCCTTGGCAGTTGGATCACTGATTAGAGTTTCGTTGACGCTGTCTGGGATACACTTGTTCAGTGCTTCCAAAGCTGAGTTTGACGCTGTCGTGGGTGTTGACTTAAAGAGCTTGGAATAATAGGAACAAATAAGGTCAGAGATCTGCTCTTCTTCGTAGCACGGAAGCCCCTCATCATTTTCAAGAACCGATAATCTGTTTCTGGCCTTTCTGTTTTTTGTTACAGCGTGAAAGTAGCCAGTGTTAGAGTCACCGAGAGTTAACCAGAGCTGGCGGCTCCTTTGCTTCCAATATTCTTCTTCGGATTTGTAGGCAGCCAGGAGCTTCAGGTTGATGTCCTGCACTCTACCCTCATCGTCTAACTGGGACGTCATAACCTCCTCGAGTTCTTTTTTAAGACCCTCGATGAGTTGTTTGCTGTTTGCTTGGAAAATCTTACACCACTTACAGATGGCACTTCTGCAAAGAGAGAGTCTTTCTTGGACACCAAGATATGGGGAGTTGTTCCATATTTCCGCTACTAAGTCCTTTATTTCTTTGTTATGCTTGAGCCTTCTGTCGTACCTGAAGAGGTGTTGACCTTTGCTTTTCGTTGTATCCAGGAAGGAGATGATCGGACGGTGGTCAGAGCCCTCGAATTTGAGGTAGCGGCAGCGGCATGAAGGAAACAATTCTGTCCATTCGGGATTGCACAAGGCTCTATCCAGTCTGCTTCTTACAAGGTGTGTTCCTCTTTTCCCTCTCCACGATAGAAAGTCTCCTGTGTGTTTGAGGTCGAAAAGATCATTCTTTGAGAGGAAAGCTCGAAAAGCCCCAAACGATCCTTCCGCTCTTTCAGGTCCTCCCAATTTTTCACTGTTGTCCACCAGCTCGTTGAAATCCCCCGTAAGGAACCACGGTCCAGCACAACTAGGTTTAAGTAAAGATAAGGCATCCCAAACTTCATTACGTTTTGATTGATCCGGTTCTCCATAGACGAAGGTAGCTCTGAAAACAACCCCCTTGGTAATAATCTCCGTATTGATGAAGTTATGGGAGGAGGATAGGACTGATAGTTGAATATCGTTTTTCCAGCTTAAACATAGGCCCCCCCCCCCTCCAGGGCAGTGAGGAGGAACGAAGAAGTGTGATTGATCGTGCATCCAGCTGAGTTCTTTCTCAACCATCTCAGTAGGATTTTTAGTTTCCATAAGAAAAGAGATGTCAGGAGCATTCACGCGGTGAATCTCCTTAAGACGCTGGACTGTTATGGGATTCCCCAACCCACAACAGTTCCAGCTAAGGACGGCTAAGGAGCCGGGAGTGGAAGAGACC